GAAATTTTCCGTTTTTGTCAGATTGAAGTTTAACAGCATATCCTAATTTACCATCCTAGTCATTCAAACGCTTTTAAAAGAAATAATAGATTATTCAAGCTTTTATTTGATATTGATCAGTAAGCATGTGCAAAGTCCATGATGTCGAAAGGTACGTATGCGATTGCAGAGTTAAAAAGAAAAGTGTAGATGAGTAAGATGGAGCTAATATTACTATGAATCGGAAGAATGGAGTAACAACAAAAACAATGTTAGTAGTGAAACATGAAAAACAGATTTGATTTGTGATAGATATTCAGACAAAATATTAAATAAAGTACTGACCTGGTTTAATTTTTTTTTGTTATTTAATATTTTGTTTAAAAAGTGAAGTTTTTGTGGCTTTTGTAAAGGTCTACAAATCACCCCCAGATGCTCTAAGAATGCAGGATTTTGCTCCATTTATTTAAAAATTTTCCAGGGGGGCATGCCCCTGGACCCCCCTAGAATACTCGCGCCTCCGGCGCTCAGATAGAGCCTGCGGCTCTCATTTTCCCCCTTTATATATAAAACGGTAGTAAAACAAATAGCTAGATAAAAGCCCTGATGTATGTGTTGTATGTATACACTGTACTAATTTACAGAAATGAAGATGACCCAGCCAATGATGATAAAGCTCTACAACTAAAGCTGGAGGAAAACAGGAAGATTTCCAAGAGTCGCCTGAACGAGGTGTTAAAGGAATACGTCCAGAAGCAGGAGAGGAGAGACAAGGGGGAGGATGATGAGGACGACACGCAAGAGGTGGAGGAAGAAGATACTCAGGGGGATGAGAAGGAGATGGACAATGAAGACTTAGACGTCCCAGAAATTGACCAAAGTAAGGACTGTAAGGCTACTGTTACTGAAGGTTTTGTGTCATCTGCATAGTGAACCAGACAAATAGGATTCATATTGTCTGCTTCTTTTACTTTTTATTCAAATGCAAAAAAAGCATCATCTCTACTCAAGCTATCAGTTCTGTATGTGAAAAAAGTATGAAAGTTAATCTTTCTTTTATCATAATTTACTTCTAGTTCTGACTGAAGAAACTGGGGGCTTGCTATGCAAATGTACAATTGTACTACTACATGTTGTAGGGGGCATTAATTCTAAGTTTATAATGTCATATTCTGTGCCACTGAATGTATATTTAAAGACAGGTACACAAACTCTACAATATGTACCTTCCCCAATGATTTTTTTTTTCTCAATTCTAAGCCATAGTACTATTAGATGTTCTTACACAAAAATTTACATACATTTCTAGGAGTTTTGACCAGATAAAAATGTTGTAAATGCTAATATTGTTTTTCTTAATAAAAATTAACATAGTTTAAGCTTGACTTTTTGATTTAGAGGAGATTTAAACAGGCATCATAAAATTTCAGAAAGGTCCTTCAATGATCTACAAATGTGTGTGTCCTTAAAGACAAACAAGTTGGATAAATAATACATTACTTTTCTCCAGCAATTTTGTACATGTGAAATCATATATTAAATGAATTCTACAGAAAAGGAAGGTCTAAAAATTCTTATATTGTTTTTGCAGTCATAAATTGTGAATCTCAAGATGGAGCCCTGGACAGTAGCATTATCAGTGAAGAAAGCAGAGAATCAAGTCTACCTTCATTTTGTACGCCATTGTTCTGTTGAAAAATTATACTCTCTGTTGTTTATTACCTTAAGATATTTGAAATATTTCATTTTTAGCTCACCTGAGCCAAAGGCTCAAGTGAGCTTTTTAGCTCACCTGAGCTGAAAGCTCAAGTGAGCTTTTCTGATCACATTTTGTCCGTCGTCCGTCTGTCTGTCTGTCTGTCTGTCCGTCTGTAAACTTTTCACATTTTCGACTTCTTCTCAAGAACCGCTGGGCCAATTTCAACCAAACTTGCCACAAAGCATCCTTGGGTGAAGGGGATTCAAGTTTGTTAAAATGAAGGGCCACACCCTCATTCTAGGGGAGATAATTGGGAATTAATGAAAATTTGGTGGTATGTTTAAAAAATCTTCTTCTCAAGAACCATTGTGCCAGGAAAGATGAAACTTATGTGGAAGCATCCTCAGGTAGTGTAGATTCAAGTTTGTTCAAATCATGCCCCCCGGGGATAGGGCGGGGTCAAAATGGCCGACCACAGTTTTACATAGAAATATATAGGAAATTTCTTTAAAAATCTTCTTCTCAAGAATAGCAAAGCAATAATTGTTTATATTTATATGGAAGCATCCTCAGGTAGTGTAGATTCAAGTTTGTTCAAATCATGACCCCCGGGGATAGGGCGGGGCCAAAATGGCCGACCACAGTTTTACATAGAAATATATAGGAAATTTCTTTAAAAATCTTCTTCTCAAGAATGACAAAGCCCTAATTGATCGTATTTATATTGAAGCATCCTCAGGTAGTGTAGATTCAAGTTTGTTCAAATCATGACCCCCGGGGGTAGGGCGGGGCCAAAATGGCCGACCACAGTTTTACATAGAAATATATAGGAAATTTCTTTAAAAATCTTCTTCTCAAGAATAACAAAGCCATAATTGATCGTATTTATATTGAAGCATTCTCAGGTAGTGTAGATTCAAGTTTGTTCAAATCATGACCCCCGGGGGTAGGGCGGGGCCAAAATGGCCGACCACAGTTTTACATAGAAATATATAGGAAATTTCTTTAAAAATCTTCTTCTCAAGAATAGCAAAGCCATAATTGTTTATATTTATATGGAAGCATCCTCAGGTAGTGTAGATTCAAGTTTGTTCAAATCATGACCCCTAAGGGTAGGGCGGGGCCAAAATGGCCGACCAAAGTTTTACATAGAAATATATAGGAAATTTCTTTAAAAATCATCTTCTCAAGAATAGCAAAGCCATGATTGGTCATGGGACTACTTTTAGATTTGAACTTTTCAATGATAAACCAATTTCTACTTTTTCCTAGCCACAGTGCTCAGGTGAGCGATGTGGCCCATGGGCCTCTTGTTAAGATAATACAATATATCGTTAGTACAGTTAAAACTGTGTTTTTGTGTCTAATATACCGGTATATTAAAACTTTAGCACAGAATCTTTTTTTCGGCAAATTAATAGTACCGTATTCAATTAAAAAATACGGATTTTCATAATGTCGCGTATAAGATCCTAACCTACGTGATGGTGATTGTGAAGAAACAGGGGCTATGTGAAGTACTATTTCAAGGCAGTTGATTGACACCAATGGGTATGTTTAGTAAACAAAAAACAAATGTAAGGAAACAACAAAGCAGAAATAAAGAAATTATCAATAGTTCTAACCTCCGTAACCTCTAACCTCCGTAACAGAAAATCAACAAAATCTGTCGTGTGCAACATTTCAGGTGTTTAAATCTACAAGATAGTGCTGGAAGTTTCCTGTTTAAGTTGACAACAAAATGGAATATAAAAATCATATGCTTTTAAAGCATAAAATAAACTTTAAGATATTTTGGAAAATATTATGGTAAAAATGACCTTAACTTAGATGTTTTTGCACATTACAAATAAAAAGATAGTAGATTTTTTTTTCGTTTTGTAAAGTCTAATATTCTGTAATGCGTATAGGCACAAAAAGGTCACCCTTATGTTAAATATCAGCGGTGTACAGGGAATTTATACTCGTTTATACGTAAAACCAGCGATGTAACGGAGGTTAGGTTTTTCTGCAAAAAATGGATTTTTGTGTTTTTAGTGGAATTTTTCATATTTTATGATATAATAAATAAGTTTTCATGAAAAATTATGTTGATGTGTGACAATCACTTCACAAAGATTCAATAAATCTCTTCATTATTACAAGGTTCAGTAAGGTATTTCGTAACGGAGGTTAAAATTATATGTTTATTTTTTATATTTAGATTTTGCCTAAACAACACTAAAACACATATCCCCTCCTTTTTTTTTTTTTACAAATAAATTATGTTTTCTAATCGTTTTTTATTCAAATTCACGATAAGGTAAACGCATTCACACCAATTCTTTGAAACGAAGGTTGTATATTTTGTAACGGAGGTTATAGAAGTTTAAGTCCTCATTTTCACATTTGCAGTTATAAAATAAATAATATACTAACAAGATGTGTTTGTAAAACACTGATGCCCCCGTATGGCAACATAGAAAAGATTAAGCTTTTATTAAATGCAAATTTAATTAATTGGTACCAAAAGTAGGGTATTCTCACTGGAAAACAATTGTTAAATTTGAAAGTAAGCTTATGTTAAAGGTTTTAACAAGTACAAAAATCTTCAAGGTCAATCAATGTAATTAGTATCAAATGAAAGGTCTTGCCACATAAAATACTTATGTAGAGCATGAAAGCCCTAGCCCTAACCGTTCAGAAGTTATGGTTAGCCTTTAATTTCTTAAAAAGTAGGTCAAACTCCAAGGTCAAGGTCAAAGCATCAAAGTTATTGTTATCATATGAAAGGTCTTGTCATAAGGATCATATATGTAAAGTATGAACGGAACTAGCCCTAAGTCTTTAAAAGTAATGGTCAATTTTGCTTTTTTAAAGTAGGTCAATCTCAGAGGTCAAGGTCAAAGGGTCAAGGATCTTCATATCCAATGAAGGGTCTTTTCACATGGATTACATATATGAAGTATAAAAGCCCAATTTCTTACTGTTTAAAAGTAATGGCCAAGGTTAAAGTTTTTCACAAGTACGAAAATCTACAAGGTCAAGGTCAAAGGGTCAAGGTTGTTGGTATACAGTGAAAGGTCTTTTAACAAACATTACATATGTGAAGTATAAAAATCCTGGAGTCTACTGTTCAAAAGATATGGCCAAAGTAAAATTTAAAAAAAATTTCTTAAAAAGTAGGTCAAACTCCAAGGTCAAAGGGTCAAAGTTATTGTTATCAAATGAAAAATCTTGTCATGTAAAGTATGAAAGCACTAGTCCTAACTCTTTAAAAGTTATGGTCAAGGTTTGCTTTTTTAAAGTAGGTCAAGCTCAAAGGTGAAGGTCAAAGGGTCAAGGATCTTCATATCCAATGAAGGGTCTTCTCATAAGGATTACATATATGAAGTATGAAAGCCCTATCCCTTACCGTTCAAAAGTTATGGCCAAGGTTAAAGTTTCTTCACAAGTATGGAAATCTACAAGGTCAAGGTCAAAGGGTCAAGGTTGTTGGTATCCAGTGAAAGGTCTTTAAACAAACATTACACATGTGAAGTATAAATGTCCTGGTGTCTACTGTTCAAAAGATATGGCCAAAGTAAAATTCTAAAATTTTCATGTAAAAGTGGGTCAAACTCCAAGGTCAAAAGGTCAAATTTGGTGGTACCCAAAGAAAGGTTTTGTCACAAGGAATACACATATGAAATATGAAAGTCATAGCTCCACTAAATCAAAAGTTATGGGCAAGGTTAAAGTTTTTGCGGACAAACAGACAGACAGACACGACAAAAACTATTTACCCCCGAAACTTCGTTAACGGGGGCATAATAAATATTTGATTAAGGTGATTGACCCTTAGTTATCCTGAGCGACATCAGTTTGTAAAGCCAATAGGAAGTCTCAAATTCAGTTTACTGTTTTTGTAAATATTCAGAATAACATCCGTAACGAAACAAACTTTCTAGTAAATTGCTTTAAAAAAAGGCAGGAAAACTGTTTAGTTCTTCTCTCCATTGTGTAAAAACATTCTTTTAAAAGTGTGTTTGACACGTTTTTAAAAGTATTTTGATCTCTTAATCTTCAAAACGAGTTTCTGTAACCTCCGTTACAATTTTGGAGCAATTTGTATATTAATTTTTCTTTAAAAAGTGGTCAATTCATAATCTGAAAAGGTCTTTAATTTTAAAGATATATCCCTTAATATTTCAAATCAATTGGTCAAAAAATGTAATATTCTGTTTGCTTGGCAATACTCCTACTGGAAAATACTGTTTATTTTATTGTCCAAAAATTCCTTTATCTGGATTTACGCATATTTTGTCAATATTTTTTATGTTTGCAGTTCAGATTTTCTTCTGTTATAATGTAGTTGTATATTGATAAAGCTTCGAAGTTCAATAAAAATTAAAACATGAACAAATACTTTAATAACTTTACAGCTGTTTTTTCTGAGTTATAACCTCCGTTACGGAGTTCTTGCATGTGGTGAGTTGGGATAGCCATAAAAACAAAACGAAGAAAGATTTACGTATAAAATTTCATTTTATTAATAAAGGATGTTTACTTTATCAATCAAGCACAAAATTTTATCCTTGCTCATAAATTCGTTTTTCAATACTATGGAGTTGGCAAATGTATGAATTAAATGGGAATGACTGTAATATGGTCGTTAATGATTGCGTGGTATAATTTAAAAAGCATGTATATAGGTGTTAATATTTACAACTTAAAATATCAAATATTTTGTATTCAGAAACAGTAGAGAGTCCTCTCAACTGGTAAGATGTTTTCTTTTAAAGTACTTTATTTTGTTTATATACGATTAAGTAATGTCAGAAGAAATTTAGCAGTAAAGATAATTATCTAATTCAGTATGACAAAGGCTTAATTTTGTGATATTTGCATGATTTAAGGCTGACAATTTTTTAAAACACTGTGCTTCACTCTTGTTTGAATAATTATACATTAGATTGAATTATTATCAGATGTGTTTTTTAACTGTCTTTTGTAAAAACAAGGATACTTTTTACAAGTTTTTGAATATTCAGGAATTATCTTGGAAATCTAAGAAAACAGTTATGGTTGCTTATTTTTGATATATTTTTGAATTTTTGTGATCAAGCAAAGTCTTTATTCCAAAAGCTGCACTCTGATATTTCTCTCCCTTGGCAAGGCCCTTGCTGACTGGTCAGTTTTCTAAGTTTATTCCTTGATTTCAATATAGAGAGATAAAAGTTGTCATGCATTTACATGTTTAATTCATTTACTGTCACAGTGTTTTAGTATACTAAAAGCCATGTGTAGACTAAGAACTTTACAGAGAACTTTGCTGACGATAATTGATACATACACATACACATACTTTGTGAACTTCTGGATTATTCTGAGGAAATATCTGAGTTGGGTTGCTAGCATATGGATTTAGACTTTCAACATCTAAAAATGAAAAAATGAGGATCAGCAAGAGTCTTGCCAATCCCCCCCCCCTCTCTTTCTCTTCCTAGGGTTATCAATCCCTAATAGATCGAATTCAAGGAAATTAAACACATAACAGATATGTAGGCATTGAATACTCGGTTTATTTAGACATACTTCCCATATATTACTATTAGTATGTATAGTGGTATGTGTCCTAATTAATGACCTTGAATTTTGGTAAAAGTTATCTCCCGTTTTTTTAATTAATAAAAAAATCAATTAAAAATTTGTAGCCGGGTAAAAAATTGTTTTTAATTGTCATTCTACTTTTAATGTTTCAAATACATCTTCCAACCGCAGGATTTATTGATTTTCAAAGTATTTGAATTTTTATTTTGAAAAAAAAATTAATTTCTCCATAGACTTCAATGCTATCTTTGTTAATTAACTACTTCTTAATTAATGAAATATTTGAAACTTTTTCGCGGTCAATCCTTTTCCACTAAAAAATACTTTAATATAATATCAAAGAATTATGAACTTGACGGATATTTAGGGGAAGGGTATATGGTCTCATTAGGGATGGAAATCCTTAAAATTAAAATAACAAAAAGACAAAAAAAAAAAAACAAAAAAACATAATTCCAAAAAAAGCAGTGAAAAATAAAGTTGGTTCTCCGAAGATAAATTTTACTAGAAAAGTCTTTATAAAAGAGGATTCAATTCTTTTGCATTAGAAACGGTGATCCTGGAGAGGCACCTGCTGGCCCTGTTCAGTACAAAGATGTGAAAGAAATTTTTGAACTGGTAAGGACCAGCACAAACCAACTGCCGGAGGCCACCACACTTTTCATTGACGAGCTTTCGAACGTGGTTGGCGAATTAGATGCAAGAGTGGAGGTGGGTAATGGATGTGTCTGTCATCAGCTATCATGAGACAATTTTAAAAAAATTCCACGATAATTTTTATACGTAGTTTGGTAGTAGTGCATTCACAGAAAAAAAATAAATAAAAATCAGGCGTTGTATGTATCCATTGATTTAATCATTACACAATTATTACACTGGGTCTCATCCCAATATGGGTTCCTTGACTGAACAGTAATTTAAAACAATCTTTTCTAAACGATTCCTTTCATCCAAGTCAATTTAGATTAAAATATTCTTTTCTGCTT